GAGAACCCAACTTGAGCTCGACTTGATGGATTTCACTGGTGCTTTCGGCCATTATTGCTTCACCCGTTTCATTTAAGGAACTGCCAGAAATGCAGTTCACTCTGGTGCAGTGTAGTGTAGTGTAGAAAATCATACTTGGTGTTAGTTGTGTCTGTCTTTTTAAAAACAAACTTGTTATTTTTCAAGAGCAACCGTTACGACGCTTGTTTGTGCTCTTCACAGATGGTGTTTTCCACTTTCACTATTGCACATCAGACCGTGCACACCGTTATAAATTTCATTTTAGTCCACCTTGCAAAAATACCATTGTTTTGTTTTATTTTTTGGACATGTGAAAATACTATGGTACTTTGAAATAGGCAATGTACAATGTTTTTTAAATGGTATTCCCAAGAATACTATGGTCGTACCATTATATATATTTTGTGTGTGTGTGTGTGTGTGTGTGTCATATATTTTTGACAGAAATATTATGGTAGCTGTATGAATATGGCAGTTGCACAATACCATGGTTTATACAGTACATTGGCCCCAACAATATTTAGGCATTTGAGCCAAACTTAAAATCAACATTTTTACATTTTATTGCCTGAGATATTTCAGATTTAAAAAAAAAAAAAAATGTAACCATTTATAGTTACATGTACTTTTTATAGCAATAACAATAAATTGTAAAATTCCAAGCAACTAAACTAAACCCCTAAACTTAGCCCTATAGTAAGTACATGTACTGTAGTTAATTAATATTACCCAGTTCTTATTTGTATAATTAGACTAACATCTACACCTTCAAACAAAGCGTAACCAACTAAAATTATACAGCTCAATTATCAGGAATTGATGCAATGGTGAAAAGTATCTCTATATGGCAGGTTATTTGAAGGGGAGGAGATTAAAAATAAATGGCCTTGATGATGTCAGCAGAACAGGAAAGTCGTTTGAGGGGTGGAGCAAGTTGTTATGATTTGATGAAAGTTTCCAAATAATGTGAAATAAGTGTGATTTAAGTGTCCAAATAATTTTTGAAGAGACAATACTGTGGTATTTACCACCTGATGCCGTCACTGTGCCATGTTTTGTAGGGGTAGTATTAAACACAGTTCCGTCCCATTCAGATCCAGCAGTGCTTCCTTTCTCTCTTTTATCCCTCCCTCTCTCTCTCTCTCGCTGTGAGCCCCCACCACCGTGCCTCTTGACTTTGAATCATATGTTAGTTAATCCCCGGCGGTTCCCTCCACTGATCTGGCTGTGGGACTCTAGTTTTTCCTCATATCTCGCTCATCAACTCCTCTTGGAGAGACTCGCTGGACGTTCCACATGGCAGATCCACCTCTTCACAACTCCTGGCCCTCGCTCTCATGGATGAAACGATTGTCCTTCAAAAGAGGTAGAGAGGATGATTGCATCTTTCTGGATCTCTGGCATCGTTCCTTCCACTTCTTAACACTCTTCTGTGCAATTTCTGACCAAAAAAAACCACATGGCAATATCATATTTTATTTAGATATAATTCTAAAAATGATTTATGTAGTTTATAATACAGTAATTTATTACATATATTATTATGTCTTTAATATAATTTAATCATTTATATCCGTTAAATTATAACTAAATTCCAGATTACCAATGTTTTTTGTAGAAAAAATAAATATAGGTAATATAAACTGTAGTAACGAAGTTATTTGGTGAAAACTATGGTTACAATGGTATTTTTGTAAGGGAATGTCCAGAATATATATAGTATATGTGTGTGTGTGTATCTGCCTACTTCATTGGAATATTTCAGCTTTGAAAGTATACTGAGTGTTGCTTTATTTTGGCTTTCTAAATCAGTTGTGTGTTTCTACACTGGTGCAGTGGGTGGGGGGGGGTGACACTGATGTTATGGTGCATGCATTTGTGGTCTGTCAGACCACCGGTGCTCAAGAGGACCGGTCACATTGCCAACAGAATGAGCTTTTGCATGCAGCTCTCATGACCTGACTGCATGTGTTAGCACATACAAAACCACATTTTCACACTTATGACAGTTCTGTGTGATTACGTCATTACTGCATTTTGTGATAAAAGACGGAATAACTGGAAACCACCAGACTCCAAAACGGGAATGTTGGATGTGTATTTAAATACTGAACGCAGGTGTACTCAGAGACATGGTGCTCAAACCAGTGATGTAAGTTTGATTCTGACATGCAATTTCCTGATCCCATGTCATTTCCTCTCTTTGCTCTACTATTCTTTAAAGAGAAAATGGCAAAAACAAGATAAAAAAAAAATAACATGTGCTTTTAGTGTTTAGCCATTAGCACATTTGCTCTAAAACATTGAGCTTCTGACATTTCCTGATCCTATTCCTCATCTTTCTCCCATTAATTTTGTTGTATGTCTACTATTAATGACAGATACAGTCGATAGACAGACAGACAGACAGACAGACAGATAGATAGATAGATAGATAGATAGATAGATAGATAGATCAGTATCACACCAGTTCAATTAGTGTACTTAAGTTGGATTTAAAAGCATCTGTGATAGTGACAATATCGCAATGACATTATTGCAATGGAGCTCTGCATTGCTTTACTGCTTTGGGGTTCCCCCTGTAATCCTCTTGGAAAAGCTCAAGACTCACATAACATAAATCTGCAAATTGCGACTGGCAAACATTTAACTTCCTCCAGGGATTCGACTACTCAAGTGCATAGGACAGTTAGGCTATTTCGAGCCTGTTTCCTTTTATTTACACCAAAATGAAACTTTGTATCTTAATAGTGTGTGCATTGACCTTGAAGTGTGTGAAAAAAACTGAAGTTTTCTGCAGTAGACCTACAGTAACTCTTGTAAAAGCTGAGAGGCCCCTTTTTTTTTTTTTTAAGTATTTATGTCAGAGCATATGGTAAGAAGGAGCAGCCATAAAAGGATATTTGAACATGACAAGCATCATGGTGCTCTTATAGTTTACATATCACTTGTCTGATTCGGATACAAACAACCTCACCGCTCTCAGACTCTGTCATTCGTCTAGGGCCGAGATGATTTACACCAGAAAGTACTGTACAGTTCATTCATCCATCGTTTAAGGACAGGCAGTCGGTGAAGGAGAATGGTTCTGGTTTGGACTTTGGTGTCTGGATTTTGTCATAGTTTATATCATTATTGTTATAATCACCTAGTCAATCAGGTACTCTGAGGTTTGGAAAGGTCACTTAAGCAATGCCCCAGTTTTGGTGGGCCTTATTTTACTCTAAAGGATGGTTCTTGAGAGTGGAAGGAAAATTTTGCAAATCTCAAAAGATGGAGAACATTGACTCTACATTCATAAAAAATACAGGTTCTGCAATGGTTCTTTTGGGGTTCTGCAGTTGGTGATATGGTTCTTTTGGAGGAAAAACAAGTTCATTTTCAGGTCAGCGAATTGATTCCAGGTAGAGGAAAAGTCAAGCATTTCTTGATTCTTTTGAAGCATAAGTACTTAGATGGCTTTCTGAAGAACCTTGGGTTCTCCTATAGCGGGGTGTCGAACTCAATTCCTGGAGGGCCGGAGCCCTGCAGAGTTTTGTTCCAACCCTGCTCCAACACACATACAATGTAGTTTTCAAATAAGCCTGAGGGACCTGATTAGATGGATCAGGTGTGTTTAATTAGGGATCTAAACTCTGCAGGGCTCCCACCCTCAAGGAATTGAGTTTGACACCCCTGTCCTATAGCATCAGGCTGGAGGCCATTATATACCCGCTATCAAACACAACCCAGAGTTTTGCTTCTGTAAACTAATGCTTCCATTTTGCATCAGATTAAGATCTTCCGTTTACAGGGAAACGTTTCAAGCTTCAACTGACTCCAGTTGTGTGTTGATGTAATATGCTAGAGTTAATGGAAGCCACTGATAAGTTCTGGCAGTAGCTATTTAGAGTATTTTATTTAGGGTATGCCGTCATACTGGCGCTCCAGAACCGTATCTTTATTATTGCTATGTCACAATCCTCAGGAATAAACACAATAGATATGATGTAATTAGATATCCAGAATTAATTGTTTTGTCTGGTGCACAGCGACAATATGTTTGATAAGGCACCTGACCAAAAGCAACACTGCAAGTCTGAGATCAAGAGATCACAATTATGGATAATATTCCTAGCTAAATTCATGGTGGAACGCTTTGTGTTTTAGCCTCGGATTGCAAACCATGCTCTCAACTTCATGCCCCAGTCTCAGCACCCAGCTCCTCCTCATCCTTGTCCCCGACCTCTATTCCAGAAGACGTCTTCTTTAGCAGTTCACCTGAGGACAAGGTAAGACCCTAACCATAACCTAACTCTAAAACTAAGGCGAATGATTGATAAAAATGATGCTCAAGCCCCTAATGTTGACCCAGGAACATATGGAAAATGAGTCCATGTGACTTGTTCATTATGTAGGCTACATGTCTTTTTGAAGTTATATCATAGCTTTGTTTGAGGAACAAACTGAAATGTATTTTAAAAAGAGTAGTGTAATATCTTTACTTTACCACTGGTTCCTCCATTGGGATTGTTCTTGTCAGTGTACTGTATTGGATCGATGTGTCTGCTCGATGACTGTGCTTATTAATAGCCAGTGGCTCTTGCATCACACAAGAAGTTCAGCTTACTGCATCCTCTTTCAGTCCCTGAATGACACTAGTGTGAGCATTACTTGGACTTCACATTATTAGTCATGTGTCATGTGATGTTTTTGTTGTGATAAATCAGCTGTCCATGGGTTTCTTGCTTTCAGATAAATTTCTTGATTGAGAGCAACGAGTGCAGCAGTGAGGAGGACCTTTTAGACCTCTGCTCTTCTCTGAGAGATTCTGAATATTTCAGAGACCTGCAACTCGGATCCACTGAACCACCTGACAAACAACTTCTGGTCTTAACTTTACCTGTTTCTGACAAAAGTACAGTCCCTTTGGTACCTCCTGCGTCCACACCAGAAAGTCGATCTAGGCAGAGTTCAGCAGAGTTCGACAGCCGTCAACTTTTCCAGACAGACAACACCGTGATTTCCACTGGAGGGGATGCCATGGATCGCTTGGTTGCTATCAGAAACTCAGAGTTCCAGGATTATCCGGAATCCGAGCAAGATGAGGACTCGGACACGGATAACTTTCCTGCATTGGTTAGATCCATGTCCACATCACGTAGACACAGCTGGGAAGTGCCAGTGTCACCGATTGACCTGGGAAGAAGGTAAGACTCACTTTTCAGTGGTCCCAAATGGTGGTCCTCAAAAAATGTCTAAATGTCATTGCCATATCTAACTGTGATGTTAGAAAATCTTTTAGAAGTGTTTGTCATTTGTTTGGTAACGGAGTGTGTCACACTGTTGTATGTGTGTATGTAAACATTGCATGGTTATGTTGTGTAGGTTCAGTCTAGACACTAATGGCATTGACAGTGATGGGGAAAGAGAGGTCCACTGTTTGGCCAAAAGTCCCCTTCTACCATCTTCCTCCTTCTCCGAAAGCTCAGTGGAAGAAACGACAGGTGTTGTGGAAAGTGAAAGCCCCAAAAAAACAGTAAATGTCTTTACTGAAATCTGTGTCTTAGTATGAACAGAGCAAGACTTTCACATAGCTCTATAAACCATACTCCTGCTCCTGGAGGACTACCGTCCTGCTGAGTTTAACTCCAACCCTAACCAAACATACCTGAACCAGCTAATCAAGGTGCTCAGGATTACTTGAAAATAAAAGACAGGTGTGCTGGAGCAGGGATGGAACTGAATTCTAGCCAGAAGGTAGCCCTCCAGGAGCAGGGTTAGCTTCCTATGCCGTAACTCTTATTGATGATATTTTCACATGATTTGGTTTTAACAACAGAAGCCACCTACACCAGCAAAGACAGTATATTCCAGATCTGAGATTCTCGCGACTGATGAAAAATCCCAAGCTGACAGAGTCTCCCGCATACTGGAGACTTCTAAGCAGGCTGCCAGAGAGGCTGGAGGTTAGTGAAATGATTCTCCAATTAGGCAGAAAACTCCAGTCAGGTCTTAATGGGTGGTAGCTTTGAAGCAATCAGATAAATCCAATGCTAATTATGTCAGGAGGAATTCTTGGATTAAAAGAAGCAAAACACACATTTTACCATTTAAAGTCTTCCACAATTACCTTTTTTTTATTCTGTAGTTCTATAGATAAACTATGTTCTGGTAGTTTCAAAAACCTAGAAACCAAAACACTGATCTGAATAACCTGTAACTTTTTGAAACTCCAGGGAACCATATAGACCATAGGTCTTCAACCCCACTCCTGGGGACCCACTTTCCTGCAGCTCCAACCCTAATCAAACACACCTGAACCAACTAATCAAGATCTCCAGGATCACTTGAAAAGTCATAGGCCAGGTGTGCTGATACTGGTTGGAAAGAAACTCTGCAGGACAGTGGGTCCCCAGGAGCAGGGTTGAAGACCTATGATATAGACCAGGGCTGTCCAAACTCGGTCCTGGAGGGCCGGTGTCCTGCAGAGTTTAGCTCCAACCCTAATTAAACACACCTGAACCAGCTAATCAAGCTCTTACTAGGCATAGAAACTTCCAGTCAGGTGTGTAGAGGCAAGTTGGAGTTAAACTCTGCAGGACACCGGCCCTCCAGGACCGAGTTTGGACAGCCCTGATATAGACACTAAAGAACCCTATACAGCCATATCTATTTTGCTTAGAAAACTGAACTTAAAGCACTGAAAAGGACAACTGAATACATGTAATCCTGACCTGTGTTGCTTTGGAATTCCAGAAGAGCAGGAGTCGGAAGAGGGGCTGCAGTCAGTAGAAGGACGGAGTCATGTGTAAGTTTTAACATCTTTGTTTTGTGTACAAGCACAATAGTAGCTATGGCAAGGTTATTTTGAGCCAGTGAAGTTAACATAATTCTGAAGGATTACTGAAGGACCTTGGAATCTGTCAAGATGATCAAGTAGCTTCCATGATGGTTTCCTGGAATGCATTTAGCATACAGTTGGATTAGTGAGACCAGTCTGTCTGAAAGGTCCACTGAAGTGCCTTGAAACACATAGCGTTATGCTATGTGGTGACGTACTTTCAACTGAAACATTAAGACACGGTGGGGTGGGGGTTATATATATTGAGCAGCCCCTCCCTCTTTTTAAATAGCCAATAGTGCTTTTTTTATATATCACAGCTCGGTAAAGCCACATTTAACAGCTTATAACAGTCACGGTCTAATTAGATTAGCCCTTTAGATTCAATATGAAACTTTTACTAAAGCAAAACAGTGATTATAAGATGCTGAGGATGTGTAGTTTGAAAATTGTGTAATTTATGTTGGTGCAGGGCACCGGTGTTCTCTTCTACTCGTTAGTGCCGTTTGTCTAACCGTGTCTCTAATCTGATCCAAACCGCTATAAAATATAGCATTCTGTGTAGAATTCAAATTTCGTAGTCTGCGCGACTCACGCATATGATCCACTCCATGATATCGCGTCTCTGGACCCGAGAGCACTGTGTGCGTGACACAACGCAAAACCAGACTTCTTTTGACCCAACGGAAAGCATATTTACACTGTCTTAATCTTTCCTTATTCCCCATATAGTGCACTACGTGCCATTCAGCATACAGAAAATACTAGTTCTGTGAACAAGTGACCTATTTCAGCCGCAGTTTCAGCGTGTATTTATAGTGTAGTGGGCAGGACATTTCAGATTCTGGAGAGCATTTGATTGGACAGAAAGTTTGATGAGAAGCTGAAGTGAAGGGTGATGTCATCAAAACCGTTGATTCATATTGCCGGAAGTAAGAGACTGTAAGTTTTGAATGCTTATATCTTCTAAATACAAATGTTGTCATCGTTTTGGAGCACACTAGCTTATCGATAACTATAAGGCTAACATATTCATACTAAAAGCCAAAAAATGTACATTTTGATTTCATGGGGACTTTAAAGTCCTGTGTAATTAGCTGGTTTGGGGTCCTTTTTTATTTGCATAAAACTAGTAGTCCTCAAAAACATCCCTTTATGCAAATATGCTAATAACAAACATTGACAAGCATAGTTTTCAGTCCTGATGTATTTTCTGTTGCAGGGTGGGACATATTGAAGGACTTGTTCAATACAAGCCAATAGCCTTTAGCTAAATTGCACTTGCTAGTTGGCTGCAGCTAGTATCAGGTGGAGGGGCATTCTCAGTCTAGAGAGCCGTTAGATTGGACAAGAATGTAGTGCAGGATGATGTCAATATTTTTGGTATGTTTTCATGAAAGAGACCTACATTTTAATTTATCAACTTTTAGAGCATGCTAAAATATAGCTTAGCCTAAAAGCTAATAGACAGGAACTAAAAGGAAAAAATCTAGATAAACTAATCTAAACAAGTGTTTTTTTCCATTAAACTGAAGGAAGTCATGGGTGATTGTAGCCCACCGTGGATGTAGCCTGCTCCTGTACTTGTGAGCTAGGCAGTAGATTTTTTGCTGATGGTTTTATTTGGACAGCGGCCCGCCGTGTGCCCTGCCGCTGCCACACATACTTAGCCTCAGTGTCTTGTTTGTCTCAGGCTGATGGTACAGAAAGTTCTGCAGGAGCTTAAGCAGTATCATGGGTAAGTAAACAGTGTGAAAGAACCTGTCGTGCCCTCCTACAGACTAACAGAGTGGCCCACGTTTGGTTTGCAGGCCCGAAATAGAAAGCATTGTTTCTCACTTGGCTGTCTTGAACATGTTGTGTATGTTTGCATAATTATGGCATACTATATATCTTTTTTTGTTTACCACTCTTGCTGTATTTTTAAACCTGGTGAGGCTTTTCCTGGTTAGGACGTCCTTGTTTTATCTCAAAACCTGTATGAGAAACCATAGCGTGCTTTTAACAAGGTCATGAAACGTTTGCACAGCAACTGAGGCTTCTAACAGCAGACTAGCAAGAGGCTGTGTTCGGAATGGAAAACTAGCATACTGCAAAGTACACACACTATACTTGCTTTTCTATATATTTTTTAAAGTTTTCGGTTTAAAAAGTAGCATGCTATATTGTGTAAACTGGATGTCTGGGTAAAATGATACAAGAAAGAAATGTCAAAATTGTGGTTGATGCAGTTTTCGCTCTAAAAAAAGGAAGCTTTATTCAAACATTTTGCATTGTGGGTTTCAGAGAATTTGCATACTGCAGAAATTACAGTAATATTCTATTCCGAACATAAAAATGGAATTGCATGATGCTTGCTGCATACTGTGCACTATGTACTACTATAGAATAATTCTGTTTAACCCGTAGTATGCACATTGTCACTCAATATGTTGCATGTACATTTTTTTTTATATTTTTTGCTGAAAGTTTTTGTAGTATTATTTTAAATCCCAAAAAAACTTTAGCTAGTCCAATCAAATAGTCTAGTATGGTAGTTTGCCATGCCGAACATATCCAGAGTAATTTTGTAGTAAGCATGCATAGGCTGCCAGTGGAGAGTCTTACTCTGAATTCATTCAATCCTGATCGTTATTATCTTGGATTTTCCTCAGAGCTAAACACAGAACTTCAAGCACAGAAAGAAAGGAGGTGACAGGGAATTTCACGTGGTATGAGTTTCTTACCATTGAGTAAGTCATAGACCTTTTTATGCTGTTCTTTATATAATAATCACTTGGATATACTCTTGTTCTCAATAAATCATTTGAATTTTAAATGGGCTTGATGTTGTTTTTTTGCAGAAATGACGGAGAAGAGGAGGAAAGACCTGAGCGTCTGGAAAAAGGTACCAAAGTCAAGCGGACTCTGAGCTCACTGAGGAACCGCATGACCGGATCCTTCAACAAAGACAAAGTAATCACACACACTGACATCACTCACACTCGGGCTGTGGGATAAAATCATATCCATTTCTGCTGAACTTTGCAGCAACTTCTGTCTCTGCAACTTCCTCCTTTTCTTGAATGTAGAAAGACACTAAACTCGCCCATGCAGACTACTGGGGAAGTTTTGACCTGCTCTTTGAACTAGACAATGTGCCAATTGTATACTGTCTTTTCAAAAATAAAACCCACAATAAGTTAATTAATCAATCTCACCTTTTTAAAAAAAAAAAAAACCTTGATCAGCTGATATACTAGATATATCTAATTATTTTGGTTAAATGGCTAATATATTGTAAAATGTTTATATTTTTAGGACTTAAAAGGTCTCTCACTAAGAATTGTCCAGGTTATATTTTTATGGTTTTCCTATAGTATATATTTCAGCAAAATTAGAGTAAAGATTAGAATAAAATAATTAGGAAATGCACACAAAAAAGTAAAAACATATAATTTTTTTTTTATCTCTGGTCTTTCGTCAATTAAATTAGAATAAATGTGTTTTATATATATA